AAAGTCTATAGAATGTGTATTATTAGGATTTTAACTGACAGACATTATTTCTTATGCAGGTTTATTTCTAGAATAATGTAAAATGTAATCCATCAAGTTCTTGTTAAAATCTTACAACATTAACTTTATCCACACGTTTCCTACAATGTGGGGCAATAATATACATATGGTTAGTTTATCCACTTTTGTTCACCAGTAGGCCTAAGATGCGCGCCGTGATAACTTTTATTGACGTCAAAATGTATGGGCAAAATCCATAAAATGACCTACTGGATGAAAGTTTGAACCATTTCACCCAACTTTATTTTCCAGGTGAATTGAGTTGACTAAAGCAATTCACCTGGGTGAAATGAAAAGTGAACAAAGTTGAATAAACCGTATGGTTTTGTTTTTATTCTAAACAATGAGTCATGATTAAAGATAAGATAGTTAATTAATGATGTTGTAGATGTCGCAGGCAAATTGTATGATTCCGCATTTTACAAACGGCGTCGTCAATTTACAAACGCTCGCTGTTCTATGAAATGCCGAAGGCAAATTGGCAACTCGTTCAATTGATAAAATTTCGACTTGATTGTTGCAATAGGGTGACCATCATAAAACACATGTTGGACAAATCAGACATAATTTCAGAAATCAGGTAGGTATCTATTTAAGTAAGACAAACCTAAAATACTTGCTACTCCTAAAGTAATTAAAATATTTTCGTAACAAAAACAACACTAGACTAATTTAAACTATTGACGTACCTATAGGTAGGTACATAAAAATATGACATGTCAGTTCTTTAGATAAGTCTTACATTTTAATTATACCAAGAAGAAGTCTAGAAGACATAACACAATATTTTTTATACCAATATATTCCGCAGCAGACCTCCGAGCACCAGATACCATTGTCACCTTAGCGTGTTTTACGTGCCGGATAACCTCAAAAACTATTTTATTTTTCCATAGCTTTTTCACTGCTCCTATTTGTGAATCGTAAAAAATTCTTAACTCACTAAGTATAATAAATGTCTTTTTTTGTGAAAAGTCCTTTGAATACGTAGAATTTGCACTGTTTTCTGTATCACAAAACCACTATCCGACGCCATTTTTCTTGTTTTGATTAGCAGCGCCTCGCGTGGTGAGAAAAAGAACTATATACTTCAATTTGCCGCGGCATTTTGTAAACAGCGATTGAATTGGCTATCAAATGTTTTGGCATATTATAAAGTGCCAAGGCAATTTACATTTTGCCTTCGGCATTTCATAGAACAGCGAGCGTTTGTGAATTGACGACGCCGTTTGTAAAATGCGGAATCATACAATTTGCCTGCGACATAGACATGAAGCTACAGATAAAAATGGAGGGCAAAGTTGGGAACAAAACTTGAGTCAAATACCTACTTATATCTATCTCGCTCTCTGTGGCCCTACCTCTCTTTTTAGTGTGAACTGTAGTATTGCTATCTTCTTGTTTAAATCTCCTTGTAAATTCTTCGAAATAGCCAATTCACTAACCAAATAAGAAGTTAAATAAATAAATAATTAATATTTGAAACTTAGATTACCTAGTTAAATAAAAAATCACAAAATTGTCGGCCATTTAGGCTTAATGTGTTGGCGAATCAGGGAATTACAATCCCAATTTCTGAGGTATCGGTAATGTGGCAACATCGGCCGAATCCGGCCCATCATGGCGGTTGTTTACTATGCAGTTGATTTCGTTTGAGATTTTTCAAGGGACCTTATCATTGTTTTGTCTGAAGAAATGGTACAAAATTGTATAGTGCGTGGTTGCGGTAGTTCGTGTTGTCCTGGAAGTGATATAAAATTCCACGCGTAAGTGTTTATTTCGTGATTTCTGACAGTGGATCATTGTTAACATATTTCTTTGTATTTTCACAGTAATTACTTCCTAAAACGTTTTACCAGTATTTAAACTTATTATTAAATGTTACATATGTCAAGAAAAAGAAGATTTTACATTGAGTTTCATTGACTTTGAGCAAATTTAAAATTTTTGTTTCTATAAGACATTTTGAAGTAGTATGACCATATTGAGGATATATCTGGGACTTTCTGTGGGACCTTACTTATCTAATTTTGCATAATGTTTTCTACGGCCGTTTACTGTAATCAATCCATATCCAAATCCGTCTGTCAACTGCCAAATTAAAATCTGTTTTCTATCAAATATCCACAGTTTTCGATGCCTTTACACTTTCTTAATGTTGTAATTCATCTTAAAACAAAAACATCGAAAACCTTTTTTCATAATCATATTAAGTGCACTTTATCAAGACACACTGTTTAAACGTAAATCAGTCTTTGTCGTCCTGAGAAAAATAAATAAAAGGTTACCCTACTTAGAAAGAGAGAGCCTGCCCACAGAGAGCGAGATAGTGATACATAGGTTGTGCTTCAAGTAGGTATTCTAAGTCTGGCCTCCATTTTTATCTTTAGCTTCATGGACATAGATACTAGAAATCTACAGGTTGTAGGCTTGCTCCTTCCACAATACAAACAAAGTAAACACATTACACATGACCACATTAAGGTTTATGGTGGATTTACACTATGCGGAAATTAGCCGAGTCAAGTCGAAAAAACAATTCATTCATTTTTCATCCCCACCCCACTGTTTTTGTTAAAGCAGCATTACATTTCTTTGCAGTAACTAGAACCAAACCAAACCCCACCCCTAGATCATTTAACTATATTAATCACGGTACATCATGGATGTAAATGTTTATATAATATAGATCTGAATGATTTTTAACAATAATGTAGTTTAAATAATTAAAAGAAAAGTAAACAACTTACAATAGTAGTAAAGTTAATACAATAGTAGTAATGCTACACAACAAATAAAAAATAACATGCATTATTTACAATAACACAAAAACCCTCAGTTTGCTGGAAAATAATAAGACTAAAGGCGCCTAACCTCAAATTTATTTTCCAGATGCCCTGCTTAAGATTAGATTGAATTAATAATACTGAAATTCTGATAAAACCGATGTACCATCAGATTTATCAGAACAAGTTGATAGAATAACGAAACGCAGATGTAACAACGCTTGATGACCCCATCGATACGATAAAATTATACATCTATCACTCGTATGGCGAGTGACTCTGGTACTTTGATACTTGCAGGGGCTCATTCCCGCGCCACACAAGAAGTCAAACAAGCAGTGAAAGCTACTACACGCGCCGATGGAATGCATCATAGTATGTCACTTTAATTGGGGTTAAATGTAGGAAATAACTTGTACTTACAGCATTTTGATACGTGTGTTGAAGGCACACGCAGGTGTGCAAACGTTAAGGTACTAGAAACCCATCGTGAACGCAATTAGCACGGAATAAACCAAAATTCACGTCTAATATCACTGACACATTGATGAGTAATAGGCTATGTATTACTTTTCTCTATGGTAATAGGCAGCAAAAACGAATGGCGTAGTAATTCGTAAGGATGTGCGTAAGTATCGATATCATGGGAATTCTTGGCATCGTAAAGGTATCGATAAAATTATAATTTATATTTATGGTTCACGCGTCGTGTGCTACTATGTAGTTATGTACGTGTAAAAATATTATGTTTAATGTAAAATATATTTATTTATATTTTATACGTTCTTAAATTAATAAGTGTTCTTGTTTTTAATCATCACTTAGCACTACTTAGCAGACTTATTGAGTTATAAATATAAATAGACGTAACTTGTCGTAAACGTAATGTTTTGTTAAACAAACAGTGCAACAGTGAATTAATTTAATGAGTGATTAAGTATAGAAATATCGATACTTATCATTAAGCTTTCATGACTACAACATTACTTTTGTTTGCTCATATTGGCAGCAATGAAGTTACGCCATCAATGGTAACCACCATAGACTACGTCATCATCTATTAAGGTCGGTGCACATCGCATCATATTTTTTATTATGTCAGTGTGTCTGGCGTGGCGTGGAATCATAGCGTGGATACGCTGAAAGTATTACGAAATTCATTTTCGTTAAAAAAAAATCTAAAAAACAGAGCCGATATCCACTGACTCGGCAGACTGGAGTTTCATTGACCCTACAGCTTTCAGCCCTCACCAGTAGCAAATGATAGGGACCTTTCTCTACAGTGGCGCCAACTAGTGAACGCAACAATGATAGCTCTCATAGCTGAATCATGGTCATCATGGTTCTCAAAACCAAGTCGTTGCCAAAATAAAAGAAGAAGAAGAATAAATTAAATACTGATATATTTTGTATAGCCTGACCAGGAACATAAAAACCCTCGCCATGCTGCGGAAAACTAATGGTACTAATTTCTTTTAATGGCAACAGTAACTGAAAACTTCATTTACATGTCACCTTGCATGTCAGTCTATTGTTGTCAAAGTGTAAACAAACTTTATTTTAAATGTTTGCAATTGATTTTGTGAATTAAATTGCTAAAATATTTTTATAGTCGTGAAAGAAAAGTGGTTCACGATGTGTTAATGTATTTGTCGAAAAGAAATATTAAGGGTTCGGACAATATTTTCATTGAATAATGTTTCCGACAAAGGTTGTCAAATTGACTGACATGTTTATCGTATAGTACAGTCCACTATGAAAATTAGCTGTAGTCTGTTTCAACTACCTATTTTAAAGTTTTTTGTCACTTTCTAAGTTTTGAATTTTATGGAATTGGGAAAGAAGTACCGAGTTTGAAGCGTTCATGAGCAGACATTGCAGTTGAATATTCAAGTTCTGAATTTGATTATTGATGAATAATAAAATAAATCCTACTAGCTCGATTGATGGTTTCATTTAATTTATTTAAACCAGGTTACCTTTAATAATATTTTTCGTTAATTTATGAAAATATCAAATTAGCCCGTAATCCTGAATCCTGATACATAAATTTAGCCTATTAATTTAACACATGTACGACTGTACTCAGTGTTGCACTATCAAATGCAATTAAAGCGCCTCTATGCCAGGGTTTTTATGTTCCTGGTCAGGCTATAAATACATCTTTTATTCATTAAAATTTAATGTTTAGAAATGCTAATAATTTGATTTAATTACGAAAATGCCATGCTGTAACATTCCAAGTTCGCCAAATTGATAAGAGCCACAGTTTTAGTGTCACAAAAATCTGGTACACACACCAGTCTTACTTGCTGTCCATCCTCCCCTGAAAACAAAAATGAATGACATTTAATCATGTATTAATAAATTTCGTTATTTGCACTATATCTAAGTAGAAAAACTTCATACCTTTATAAGTATCTGTTGCAAATTCTGTACAATTTCCGCTGAAATATACAGCAGGGCAGTTATAAATGATAAAAGGATCTGTGTCTATACAGGGTGTACTAGGAACAGTATCAGGACATGTTGGTGCCAAATGTCGCCATTCTAATGTCTTCTTCATGGCATCTAAACTTGTTTCCAATTTACTGTAGCGCATGATGTCTTTTATGGGTTCACCTGAGGATCCTAAGCATAAAAAACCTGAAATGCATATTATATAAAATATTATAGTTTGCTGTTTCCAAATTCAAAATAATTTTGTACATTCTTGTATAAATTGTGTGCATACCACCAATTTCACATTCATATGGGTTGGATACTCGGTTGAATGACTTATATTCAATAGCTTTGGGAAATAGACCTGTAATTACAGAAAATGAATCTTGTTATATTTTTCTGATTAACTTCTGTTACGAAGAAAAAATCAAAACTGTTATAAATAGTTCTACTCACAATAATGAAAAGGTTTTTGTGGCAACATAATACCAGTGGGATCTTTACAACCAGGCATGATATCTAAGGGGGCAACAGAACTAATTGCAGCTGAAAAGGCATCCACCGACTCTGCAGAGGCTATTACATCTGCCTCATTGAGAGTATGCTCATTTGCATTGTTTGCAAATACTCCACCTGGAAAATTAAATTAATTTTATAAGTCAAGTACATAAATAGGCCAAATCTAACTCTCATTAATTAGCTTATGCTTTTGGCTTACCAGCAATAATAACTCGAACAACCTTTGTCAGTTCTTCTTGATACTGACTAGTCCCAGATATACCAGATAACCATTCAAGCAACAGATTGAGGGAAAACAAATGATCAGCCTGCTTTGAGGCCATGTTAAGACCTGATAGGATCACTATGTACCTGGAAAAATGCAGTAAATCATTTTATGAATGGTTAAATAAATATATTACCACAAATCATACGAATTTTAGGCTCTGTGGATGAAGTTGCAGTCAAAAGATATTGTCCATTAAACATACCTATCATTACTCAATTGAGGTAAAGGTTTCTGAATGTTACACCCTGCCCAGCAAACATCTTTTACTGAGAAAACACCATCCTCATCTTCAGAACCTGTGTGCAGATATAGAAAGAAAAATATAAACACTGCATGTAATTTTTAATGAAAAATGTAGAAAATTTTGATTATCTCTTACCTAAAATCGCACAGACCACACCAGTTACTACAAAGTGGACATTAATACAGTCTCCTACTAATTTGATTCTCTGCAATTCATCTTCCAGTACCAGGCTATCTTCGTCATGTACAAAATGTGTCCTGAAGATAGATTTGTTTGTAAATTATTGCTGCTGATAACCATAAATATTATTGTTTGTTAATAACATTACCATCAAATGATTACCTTGCAGGCTGCGGAATAATCTCTAATTGGTCTGATAACTCTTTAAGAATACTTGGTTTTAATACTTGCAGCTTGAACAGTGTTCCTATGATAACACACATTGTATCCTTCTCGCGCAGATCACACAATTTAAGTACTTTGTAAGTATTCGACCATTTCTTTCTAATCACTGGCTCTAGGATATTTCTAAACGTATTTAATCGGGCTGAGTATATGTGGGCATATTGTTTGGTAAAATCACGGGATACTTGATAAAACCTCTTAGAACAATCTTCATATTTCAATGAATGTCTTTCCAGTTCACGGGGTTCCAAATCCCCTTCCGTCTGAGCAGCTGACGTATCAGCAACTTTGAATAGCATTATTTTTAGTTAATTTCTACAGAAAATAAGTATTTTCACCGTAACGCAATCGGCATTAATTGCAAAACATTAAATATAATCACTTTTCTTTCTTTGCTTCAGTTGGCGCAAAAATTTGTTTGTTACACTTTCTGTCAGTGTCAAAGATGACGTTTATTTATTACTATTTTAACGTTTTATTGTGACTCTCGATTCAGTTTGTCAAGTAAAAAGAATGATTTAAATACGATCATATCGTATTCAAATCGTGTTTTTAATAATTTAGTCCGTGGTAGTGGGATCTTGGCTGAGGATTGCAGGAGAATAATGAAGAGTGTGATAGAGGTATTGGATTCAATAAAGGTGGATTCGCTAACGAATTACGGCACATAACAAGACCATTAACTAATAATCCTTGCTACATTGTCACTGGCGAATAGAAAAAAAAATTATAACGACCCATAGGAAAAATGGCGGGAATTCAAAAAGTCCGACTAAATAATTTGAATATAAATATTAAAAACGCTTTGATTGTTGGTATTATCATCGCAAAATGTAGTCCACGTACGATTGGTTCCAAAAAGAAAAACGGAGATATTCGTGGAATAACATCTTTTACCTTGAGAGATTCAGAAGTCGACACAATCAACGTTGATGTTTGGGGATCGCAATATTTCATATTAACTTTTTACGAAAGATTTCTCGTCGGTGATGTTGGTAAGTATAAAATATTATGTATTATTTGTTTACAAGGCTTTGTTAAAAATGTATTAATTTCCTAAGTGAAGGAAATGTTAGGGCTCTCTAGTATGGGTTTTTAAGCATTGTTAGGTAATTTTACAGCCTACGTAAAGTACAGTCAACAACACATCACATTTTACATTTTTGTATCGTATAAAATAACACCACAATTGCTTATAATATAACCCACAACTTAAAATACCGATGCAGGGTCGGACTGGGCCGGAAGGGCCCGGGTGGCTGATAGCAATCCCGAGGCCCGAGACTAGATCATGTAGTAGGGAATTTAGTGCAAGAACCCCTCCACTTTGGTATAGAAGGCTCATTTTTGCAACAGTGGTTCTTCGGGTGCTCCTGAGTGGATTTCCGTCGGTAGACATCGGGAGCCCCCCCTGTGGTAGCAGGGGGAGGGGGGGCAAGTTTCCTTCCGCCGCGCTTCACTTTAAGGCCCATATCTTCAAAACTATGGGTATTAGGGCAAGTGTGGTATCATTTTCGGATAATTAAAGGATGGCGAATTCATTTCTAGAACAAACTTTTTGCCTTTTCATACAAAAAAATTGAAATATTGAGTAAAATTCACAAAAACCTAAAAGTTTTTTTTTTAATAAACGTCATTTACTTTTAAACAACTGGAGATAATCTAATAAAAAAAATATGACCTGAAAGCTACATTTATCAGGATTATAAAAATATAACATTGTATGATACTTTTTTCGCAAAAAGTAGGTGAAAAAAATTTTTTCTTCAGGACACAGCGGGCGATTTTTATTGCGCATCGGAAAAAAATATTTATTTTATCCATGAATTCATACTATTTGTGATAGAGCTTATTTTAAGAAATGTATCTGACCTAAGCAGAGATTCTACTTCGGCGTAGAAAAAGATAAGATAATTTCTTAAATTTAAAAAATAATCATACTGTCGTTCCTATAACTACTTTTAAATAATTATAGGTGCAATAATATTCGCCATACACCAACCTACCTACCAGCAATGCAAAGAGAAGCTTAGTGTGTACGTTTCTTTAAATAATAATAAAATTGTAGTTTGACCCAGTTGTTGTTGTTGTTGTTTCAGCCAAATGACGTCCACTGCTGGACAAAGGCCTCCCCCAAGGTTTTCCACAATGAACGGTCCTGCGCTGCCCGCATCCAGGCTCTTCCCGCCATATTCTTGACCCAGTACAAAATAAATTTTCTAAAATATTTTTTTAAAAATAATCTACAGCTATTTGTCACCTGGGTGTTTTAGGGCTGATTTTTCAATCGTCAGATATTTTTTAACTGTAGAATAACCTTGTCATTTTGACATATTTCCCGTACTAAAACTGTCAATGTGCCAAACTTATTCTTCAGTTAAAAGTTATCCGACGGTTGAAAAATCAGCCCTTAGTCTAACATTAATANTAACTACTTTTAATTAATTATGGGTGCAATAATATTCGCCATACACCAACCTACCTACCAGCAATGCAAAGAGAAGCTTAGTGTGTACGTTTCTTTAAATAATAATAAAATTGTAGTTTGACCCAGTACAAAATAAATATTCTAAAATATTTTTTTAAAAATAATCTATAGCTATTTGTTACCTGGGTGTTTTAGTCTAACATTAATAATAAGTTAAACTTTGGATACTAGTTATAAAAACAGAATGTCACTTTTTCGGGTAAAAAAAAACACTGTGTATCGTCGCCCCAGCAAGGGTTGAGCTCGTGCAGCTTGTCGGCCAAGTAATTGTGGTTGCGGAACAGCCAGAAGATCAGGTTGACCTGATCTCAACATCAAGAGAAGAAGAAGAAGAGCGTTGCGCTTAGCTAAATTATGTTTTTGTGACGAGTGGTTTCCCCACAATAGTCCAGCGGCGGCGGGGTTCAAACCAGTGTTCCTTGGACCCCGAGTCGGCCAGTCTGACATCTTCACCGTTCGGTATTGTAGCTTTGTTCTATAGTTCAGGATTCTATGTGAGTATCTACTGCTTGACTGCCAAAAATCCAACCAATGAAGGCCTGGGCATCATGAAAGAAACATAAATGGTCAAAGCCCTCTTTCCCACTGGGCACTTTAGGCACGTGCTCAGGGCCCCGCGACGGAGGGGGCCCCCGTCTGTCCGTCTCAAAATACCTTCTTCTAGATGACAAGGGCCCCCTTGATCCGTAAGTGCCCAGGGCCCCTAGTAGGTTAAAGAAGGCCCTGTGTTTACATAACTTTTTGTCCTAAATTAAATTAGAGAAGTTATACATAAGCAAAAAGGATTTTTTTAGCTTATAACTTCTTCAATCTTTAATTTAAGGCAAAAATTTATATTAACATATTTGTAGGCAAAGCAATTTTCTACAAATTATGACTGTACAATTTTTTTGTACGACGCATAGTTTCCGAGACATGCACGCGGGCTACCGTAGCACAGGGGCCACGCTGCGCGGGCCCCCTGTGCTACGGTTGCCGCATGCCCCGCAACCCAGGCCGTGGGGGGCCCGCGCAGGCTGGGGCCCGGCTGGCAAATGCCACCCTGACTGTATGGCCAGTCCGACGCTGTACCGATGTACCGTCGTCCGTAATTTCATGCTGTTCATACTTTTCCAGTGGAAATCTCATCCCCAAAAATATGCGTCAAAAATGCTGAAAGTGAAATATACCGGCCACTGGTAGGTCAAACATCAAATAATTATCAAAACACAGAAAAGGTAACCTTTCTCAACGAAATATTTAATTTTATGATTATTCTTTACAGGTGTCGTCCCCTTTTTATTTGTCTCTGAATGAGGGGATGTCCGATGTGACTATTCATAGTGGCGACACATTCAGCTTGTATCTGCCTCTCCTGCACATACCGACCAAGCCTTCTGCTGGCTATTATGGGCTAGCAGAAGTTCTGAAACTTCCAGGTAGTTCGCTAGTTCTAACTTGACTAAACTCACTTTGATATTGGAAAACTGTCTCTTCTTCAAAGTATATTTTTAGCATCAAGACTTGTGCTTTTTTCAGAGGACAGTAATAACGTGTATGTCGATCTTCTGGTAGTCGTAAAATCTGTAAAACCGGTCAAAAGTATTCGGACTAAAACAGGTAAATAATTTTCTCTGGTACTTAAGGTACAGATGCTAGATGTCCATGGTAATGGTCAATTGTTTGCAGGAACAGAAATGTCAGTACGAGGAGTTGAGATAATGGATAACACCACTCCTGCAACGGTTACATTAGATATTTTCGATATCGACACAATACAAAGGTAGCCTTAGTAAAATCGCAGTACGAACAATTCCCCATCGATATTGTTTTGTTTTTTATTATTTTGCTAATGAATGTGAGCAGAGCAGAAGAATGGCGTCCTCTAGAGAGCGTGTTGTTCATCGCTGATGGACGCGTATCTTGGCGCGGGCGCGGCGTGACCGTTCAAGTCAGCAGTCGCACCGTCATCACGCACCAGCCGCATACAGCTGACGCCGAGTCGCTCCGGCTGTATATTCGCAACCAGGCTAACACAAGTAAGACACAGCTATGATCTGAGCCCAGAGGCCTCGGGTGATACGTTAGCAATGGCATATTTTCAACACCTACTACCCATTTACGTTACTCCGGGTGCATATACGAGTACTTAAACTTACGCTAACGAGGAGTCGATTCGTGAAATGAACGCCACAAATGTGAAAGCGGAAAAGGAGGCTTATATGGACCATACACCCTTTGACAGTCTGGGTAGTAGCCCCACAAACATCATTGCTGGTTAAGGCACGTTACTGCATGAAAGTCCATCAAAAGCCTCAGCCTCTTACGGCTCAAGTTTCTTTCTCACCGCGAGGCTGTCTAAGGCAACACCGCCCACTTGCCAAAATTAGCACCCATGCCCTGCCAAGACGTAGCCGACATGGCTTTATGTGTCTGCTAGATGCTACAACAAGGCTGCTCAACCTTTTGAAGAGTCGGGCCAAACGGTGGATTCAGTCGTTAACGACGGGCCCCTTACCTATTTATTTATTTAAAGGCATATATTTCCTAGTTCAGTTACTCTCAGGATAAGCGCAATAAAAACTCAACCATACTAGCGCGGGCCACTTAAAATTATGTATTTCACGCGTCACCTGGGGTTGTGCAGCCTTGTGCTATAAAAATTGTGTAAAGTGGTCGTGTGGTGGCTTTATAATATTATGTATATGTCTGCTAGACAAAAGAAATAGTGCTCAGTGGCCTTATGGCTCTGTGTCTATTAGAAGGCGGCGAGGCAGCAGCATGGGCCGCATGGAGCGGAGAACGCAGTAGTGCGGCGTCGGTGGCGCAAATCCGCGACCGGCTGGCGGGCGGCGCGCCCTTCTGCGCGTCGCTTCATGCCATACTCACGCATCTCGACTTGGACGACATTGTTAACACTGAGTATGAATTTATACTTTATTTTCATTTACAA